TATGTTAGGGTTTTGTTTGTGGGAAATGTATTTGTGTTTTCTTTTTAGTTTCTCCTCCTACCCACTAGATGGTGCCCTTTTCCCTGTTTGGCCTGGAGGGCCTCTTCCAGTTTTTCTCCCACACCTGCGGCTCGTTGGGTCCTCACCAGAGGAGTATTAGAGCAGTGGACTGTCACCACCTCGATGCCAGAGTATTTGCCAGTATTGGGTGCTCTAGCCTCACTAAGTTTAGCAGAGTCAAACCTTTAAGCCTTTGCCTCTCTGAGTCTAAGTTTTTTTTACCTTTTTGTCTCTTTTGTGTCCTCCGGCAGGATAACCCCCCGATCCGCTTGATAAGCCTGGTCCTTCTCCCCTTGGAGGGAATTATTCGTATCACTCTGAGCAAGGGAAAACCTTCACCAGATCCGTTCAAGTCCTCCTCAAGAAAGTCTGTGACAGTCCGCTCCACTGCTCCTCTGGACCCACCATTAGTCTGCCTGTCCGCCCTCCAACAAGTACCGTAACCATCATCTCTGGACAATTCCCCCACAAACTGGACCCAAGGATCAATCTAGAAGCATACTACATGAGTCAAAACTGTTCCATTCATCTCCTTCAATCAATTTCCTTACGGACCTTGAACTCATCACTGTGATCTCCCCCCCATAGAGTTTCTGGTTCCAGTTTACCTGACCACAGGATTCCCCAATCTGAGAATAACCTGTTTTCTCTATCTCTCTCTGAGTTTTGTAAACCTCACCAATAAACTGTTAACTTTTTCCGTGCCTCTGAGTGGTTTTCTGCATGTGGGTTAGATCTTTGAGACCCATCATGACACTTTAACCACATTCTACAGTATTTATGGATGCAATTTGTAAAAAAAATTGACCTACAGCTTGTGAATCCCATTCCTGACCTTCAAGTGTTTTCAAGTGCTCTTGAACACTCACTTAGCAGGCAGGAAAGTCAGGTGAAAAAAACGAAATGAGAACTTGCTGCCTGCCACCCACCCCCTTTAGATTAGCAGTATTCCAAATGAAATAAATAAATAAATGCAAAAAAAAAATTGTTAATTTGTGAAATTAGTAACAAACTTTACATTTTCATCCAAGTAAATGTTTAGTCTGAGATAAAAGCAGAGTTGAATCTCATGAAGCTAAATGTGATTTGTTGTAATAGTAGACGTTGCAGAAAACACAAAAAGATAAAAAGGAAGTCTAGTCAAAGGAAGTCAATTTTTTTATTTTTTTATTTTGAGAATCATAAACCAAAACACACCAACATGGCATAAATAGGTAATATTCATGGTTAAAAAATAATTCTGTTAATTATTCCATCTTTCATTAGGTGTGCATATCTAGTTGCCACATCGTAGATTTTAAAATATTATGACACTTTAGGGAGTACTGGTTCATTTTAGTAAAACAGAATAATATTAACATTGATTACTCTACAATGAAGCAGTGATTCATGCAGGAGGAACTGGTTAAGTCTTGAAATTTAAATACTTGGCTTTGCTGAGTTTAACTCTTGTTACAAAGCTGTTGTCTTTTTTCTATAACATCTCTTATTATTTCTTACAGAATTTCAATGAGCAGAGGTTTAGTTTGTTATTGATTTCAACAAGCATTTCCTTGTTTTAAAAAGTTTTATCATAGCTTTTTTTACAAAAAGTGTCCTTATTTATATGTATTTCTTATATGTATCCCTTTCTTGTATTTAACAATTATCTTCAGCACTATAACTCTGCAATAGTTTAATAATAACCCAAAGAGAAGCTATGTTTTTTGTCTCCCCCTAGCGGCCATGCTGCATATCATGATTTTAGAGATGTTCTTTTTTAACACTAAAAACCATCATTTGCTTCATAATGAGGACACTTTGGACTGTCCACACTGTTTGAGTTCACAGCTGCCCCACTAAAGTGATAAAAGGTTCTTCAGGTCTGAAGTTTCTCTTCTTAACAGTTAAAACACAGCTTAATCAGAAATCATTATGTCAATTATATTTGTTTTTTGCCGTAAAGTATCACATTCCCCTAACACTGAATATATTGAATGTATTATTTAGGTGCACTGTGGTAATCTGCAGCAATTTATCTTGATATCAAACTATCTTGTTTTTGCTGTGAGTAAATCTTTGATCTTTGTCATAGATTGATATAAAAAAAAAAAGATGAATCAAAGATTTTATTTTCTCACAGAAGTAAGATTTGTTAATTGTTTGTGCTTTTAACGATTCTTTAAAGTAAATGGATAGTTTCATAAAGAATTAGGGTAAAGGGTTAGATTTCAAAATGTGTAAACATTTGTTTTGTCTTTAGTGATAGTCTTTTCTCTCCATAGTATGGAAGAGATACTATGATTTCCAAAAAAATACTCTGGAAACGTTCTTGTTTGAACAACAATACTATCTTGTTTAAACGATAAAATTATCGCGTAAAAATTGGAAAGATTATTTTTCGAACGATATAACTAAATAAATTTAGATCACTTCTCAGTTCTACACTTCTGTAGATGGGACAAGATTGTTAGGAAACACTATCACTTCGTCAACACAAGGTACAACCTATGAAAATAAGCTTAGAGCTTGTTTGTTGGCGCAAAGTTTAAAAAATAAAAATAGAATTAAAGTCTGCCTTTTAGCTATCACTTCCAATATCAGCGTGGATGTATAAATCCCCCGATCACCTTGCCATAATTCAACACTAAATCTGATCTATAAACTGACATTAAGGGCCTGTTGGACAATATAAAACTGTTAGAGTTCTGTTTCTGTTATGCTTTTCTTTTGGATGTTCAGTTTTGCTTTGCTCCTTGTTTTCTAGTTATTTATGGTTTAATTCTTATTTTGTTGTGTTCTTTGTTTTTCTCAGTTACTGTCATAGTCTTGGTTCTGTTACGTTTTCTTTTGAGTGCTCAGTTTTGCTTCACTCCTTGTTTTTATAGCCTTAGTGGTTTAATTCTTATTTTGTTGTGTTTTCTGGTTATTTTCAGTTTTCTAGGTTTTTATTTGTTGCCCTCTGCTGCCCTCTTGTGTTCTCCTTTTTCCCTAGCTCATTTTCTGTTCTGCTCTATGCACACCTGTTCCCAATCTGCTTGTTAGTTCTCTCTTTGTCTCAGTCTCCCTTAAATACCCTCTCTATTCAGTTCTTCTTTGCTGGGTCCTCGTCAAACTTCCTCCAACTCCTTCTCTCTGAGCCTTCCTCCTTGTGATTGTGATTCCCCCTGATGTCACTGTGGTTTCTGGTTCATCTTGATTCGTTTTCTTGTTTTGATTTTTGGGCTCCTGGTTTCATGTTAGTTTGGGCTTTGTTTTCTTTTGCGTTTTTGGATTACCTGCCTCTGTTCTCAGTTATCTCATCATTAAGTCCACAACAAATTCACCTCTCCCTCCCTGCCTCTGCTTTTGGGTCAACAAACCTTATCCAAATCGTGACAAAAACAACAAACAGAAGTGGTTTTAGTGTCTTACAACTATGAAGGAAACTCGATGAGAAAAATAATTGAAGTATTAACTGGCTTTAGTGTAATCAATTCTGTACCATAGCTTGCTGTTGCATCTTATTCTTATTTGTGTTATCTAAAAATGTGTGTAATTCATAGTCTATTAATCAGGAATCCATGGGGTGGATGACTTTGAGTGGTGAAAGTAAGCTGCCTGTTAGATTTGTCCACACCTTTTACCACTGTTTGTACATCTTTTACAATTAGTTTTATTTGTGATAGCTTTAATAAGTTTAAGAGGTTGTCAGACAATAGACCAACAAAAAGAAATGAATATTTATGGTGTGAAAGGAAAACATCAAACTGTCGCAAGCGTTTATAGAAAATCTATCTTCCTTTCAAATAGCTTATATCAATGTGTTCCCTCTGACTTTTTCTTTAAGCACCTCACTGATACTGAAACCAATTTACTCCTGGTCTTCCTCTCTCAGAAAGGTGTAGTAGGATGCCCTGTGGGCCCTGAATGCACCATGTAAGTGCTCATTGCTATTTGGCCAGCGTGATGGCTACTCTAACTTGAAGTTCCCTCTCCCACCTGTCTGACATGGGGAGTGGTCAGTGCTTTTTTGGTTTAAATAAAAAATATTTTATTTTATTAATATTTGTTTCTCCATAGATTATAGTAATAATTTGGTTAACCTTAGCTGACCTTGTGTACCATGATATAACGTCCTTTAATGTGATGCATTTGTTTTCTCTTCAATTAACATTACAGTTAAAAGTCTTTCTATAGCTTATAGGTTACAATAATCTCCTTCTTGTTAACGTTAATGATTTGTGAGTTTAGGCTCAAAAACTAGAGTGACTCTTTTTCACATTCCTACAAGATGGGATTGGCTAAATAAGAAAGTTTCGGGAATAGAGGGAAATACAACAGGTGCCCCCTTCAGTTTTGATCCGTCCTCACCACCTCCTCATATTTCAAACACCTGCCACTGGGTAAAGAGTGAAAACAGATCATTATCGAGTTGTAAAGAGCTGCTACTGTACAAAGTATTGTTCTCGGAAACAAACTGAGGCTTCTTACAAATCACTTTTGATAGTTTCTCTGCTTACTGAATCCTGAATACTTGGAAATTTGAATCCAACATAAATGGAGAACCCTGAGGCGTTGTGTGAACAAATCTAAGAGGATTTATATGCTCAAGGAAATTCCAAGATGGGGAGAAAATCTAAAATTTTCTCTCCATAAATGGAAAATGACTTTCCAGAGATCATTGAAAACATACTATTAAAAATACTTTCTGATCACCATAAGGTGTTTTATCTGGCATATAGAAAGTGACAGCAGGTGATAACTAGATAAGACCACAACTATGGAACAGCATTATAACAAATATAAAAGGTCAGAGAAAATTGAGAACTAAAGGTTGGGGCATGTTTCTTTGATTTTTCTATAGAGAACAAATTCAAAATGACGAAGCGCATTCTGCCCATATCACATGAGCTCATCAAGCGGTGCAGGTGTGTCATTGCAGGAGGTGGGAGGGCGTTTGGCAGCCACATAAACATTGTGCTCAGTTTTAGGAATTCCAACCTTCCAGAGACATCATGCCTCCCCAGCTTGGTTTCCTCTCTATCTTACTGGCCTGGACAACAGGAGCATGGGCAACAGACCATAACCTGCCTTTCATGGAGTACCTGGATGCCGACCGTGTGGTCTGCCTGAAGTGGGGATTTGATGAGCTTCAAGGAGACATAACATTCCAACTGACAGTCAACAGCACAGGCTGGGTGGGCTTTGGACTGAGTCCACAGGGAAATATGGTTAGAGCAGACATTGTAATGGGGGGATATGGACCGGCTGGGAGCTATTTTGCAGTAAGGACAATAGTTTAAATCTAATCATTGTTCATATAAAATATAAACCAGTACTTATTGGTGTCTTACTTTTTCTTTCCCACAAATCTATTAGGATTATTATGCTGAAGGGAATGCCATGCCTTTAAAGGATGAGGAGCAGAGCTACAACCTTCTCTCCATGATTGAAAATGACGGACAAACAATAATGACTTTTCAGAGGTCCATAAAGACATGCGATGAAAAAGACTTCCACATCACAGTAAGGCATTTTATTTTACATATATAGGATGAAAGCAGGTGCAAAGAAGATACTATTACAAAGAAGGACCAGCATGATAACATGTAAAATAGATTAGAGAAAAATTGGAAAGACTTTTTTTTCTGAGGATGTTTAATATTTTATGTATTTCTTCTGAGGTTGTTTTATATTTTTTAAGGATCTTGTCTAAAGAGGTTAATATGTTTAATATGTAAGTGTTTTAATCCTTTCTGTATATTACGGGGCAGGTGTTTCAACAACATTTCTTTATAGTTGTGTTACTCAATAAGCTTTCACAGTTTAATGCTGGCGGTATAGTTTGTTGTCAAAACCATTTTTTTACCTCTATTACCTTTTAATTGGATTTGGATTATTGCATTTCATTGTATTAACAATATGTAAGGAAAACTTTCTTATCTAACATCTGGCTCTTAATGGATTGAGCCTGCTTATATTTTTTAGACCAAGGGTCAGCCTACAGCCTCCTGTTCTAGTTTCTCATATATAACAATGTAAAATCTACTGTATTTGTTAGGCTCACCTTACCTACAGTACATTTAGTGCCCCAACTCTTGGGTGTTTTCCAAGCTGAAAACAATGGAAGCAAAACAATGGCTAAGATATCGACACTGTACATGTGAAAAACAAATCTCACATCTTACACATATTATGTTTCTGAAAAGTTGTTCTGTTTTTTAATTGTTGAAACCCCCTTGCCCCACAGCCTCAGCCTATTAAATTAATCTACGCCTACGGTGTAACTGATGACATTGGATACCATCGGAGCCGCAGAGGCACCAAGGAAGTAAATCTGCTCAACTACATGCCAAGGTCCAACCCACCTGATGCTAAATATTTCACCTTAAAGGTGGAAAATGTGAGGAAAAATTACATATATTCTCTTAATCACAACTCTTGTTTTATCCAGTATATACCAGAGCCTTATATAGCAAACTATGGTACATGTGCAACTGAAATCTGGTTTCGTGTTTCTATGTTTATTACTTGTAGATCACTGTCCCTTCCAAAAAGACGTACTATCACTGTAAAGTAATGCAGCTCCCTGACCTGCCAAAAAAGCATCATATTTATCTGGTAAGGTTTCTTTCTTTAAAGTAAACAGTTTTCTATGTTCAATCATCAGGGTTCTGATGGACACAGTCCCTTGAATCATACCTTTTGACATTTTCATATTCTATCATGTTTGACCTACTAACCCCAGTGCATCCCAAAGCATTATGCCGGCACTGTTATGGTTTGC